TGTGCGTGTGTTCAGTCTAAGCTCAGGTGTCGACACGCCTGAGTGAGATGAGGATGCTCTAGGCTCTGGGTGGAGGGCAAGGTTGACTGCGGCGGTACAAAAGGGGAGATTGCCGACATCTGCGAACTTCTGCTAGAGTCCATCCCGACCCTATTTGGGGCGTAAGATGCCTGAAATGCCACAAACTGTTCAGTTCCCGGTTTTCTGACGCACAGGCCATCAGGAGCGGCGGCAAGTTGTCCCCTCTTCTCGGGCTATTTTTGTGGCCATATGCTCTTTTCAAAAGTGTCCAAAGAATCAGCGTTTGGCACTATATCCGGGCTTCTCGTAGCTGTCAATGTGTGGGCGCATAGCCCACATAACAAGTTGCAATAATTTGACTTTTCCATATTTAAGTGGCCTATGAAATGTCCCACAAATTTGAAGGGTATGCATGAGACATGATGAGATTATCATCCTACCTTGGATTCCAAACTCTTACATAAGCCATTTGGCGGTGTAGAAAACGGAACTTAGTTACTCTTCCCACCAACAAGTAATCAAATATTTCAGCTATTGTTAATAATTATCTAAATGTCATTGTGCCAATTGGAGCCTAGGGAGTCATCAGAATTCATGCTACACTTTAATATATTTCTATGAATATATGTATGCATGCATGCGTAGTTAAGATCTGTGCGGTATGAATATACACCATTTTTCACCGAAGTTCACATAGTCTTGTTTCTCAAAAGGTATTGCCATTCCGGGTGGACTACAGTTTTTTCTTCGTTGGATCTCATCTGTACCCAAAACTGGAATCGAACCCAATATTCCATGTGTTACTGTCTGTGCCCAGTAACGCAAACCTGGCCTTTTTCACGTGTATTTATTATAACATTCGACGGCTTTACTATATACCCTACATGAAAATACCTTTTGGAAGGCAAAGCTAAGTGGCGCCGATCCATTTCACCATAGTAGAATTCACATCTACTTAGTCTCAAAATACAACCAATTTATATAAAATGTAATCACCCTATTTTGGTTTGAGTAATGAAAGACTGGTAGTTGAATTTTTCCACAATCAGACGAGTAGACCTTATGTTTCCATTGAATTTCAAGTAGCCTTGATTTCCAAAAGATATTCTCATCCAGAGTGGACTTTAGTTTCAATTTCGCCTAGTCCCCAGCCAGACTTGAACCCAACTAGTGCAGCACATAATTTCGACACGTTAACCACCACGTCGAAATTTCACGAGTGCCCTTAGATCACAGGGCAAAAGCGAAATTCAAGAAAGCATTGGCCTTTCCCATTGCTCATTTCTGTTGTGGGATTGTCGACCAAGCAAAGTTGCATTTGCTATAACAATCGACAACATTACTTTTTCCATTTTTTATACTTACCAATAGGTCATATATCTGAGATATATTTCGTCTATTTCATTTATACATTTATGATTTACTGATAATATCGAAAACTTACTTATGAAATACGAAAAACTTCAGCAAATATAGCATCGTCAATCCCACAAAAGAATGTGATATGGGAAAGACCTAGCCTTCCTTGAATTTAACTTCTGCCCCGTGATCTAATAACATTTGTGCCAGTGTGTTTTATTGGATAACGTGTCGACTACCACTGAGGGTACTGATGAGACCTAGGCAAGGTTTAAACTGTGTTACCCTCTAGACGAAAACATAAAGATACTCATATCATAATAGGAAAATTCAGCTGCCAGCTTCTCATCTCCTTAACGGAAATAGGTTGAATATATCTCATATATGTAATCTACTGGTAGTATCAAAATCTACCAGCAAAAATTAACTAATCTATTTTTCGAGGCTATTAGTAGATTTTATATAATTTTATCAGTCTAAACGAAATTGGGTAAATATAGCTCTTTTATAAACGAATTCATGTTATTCGGAAGACTCTTACTCCGTTTGAAAGGTCATGACGAAGAGGTTCGTATGACGATCACACCGGAAGACGACAACCGATTCCAGCTGTATTGCAGCAGCTTCGCTATATTACGCTGTTCAGGTTGACGCAGTCCTCGAGACATCCTCCCTCTGTTCGGGTGAAAACGGGCTGAGCTTTCGTCCGACATTATCTTTCTTGTAAAAGTCTTAAGTTAACACTAGGCCAAGAACATGTAGGATAGAGTCGGACAATCTTTTTGACAAGTATGGGTCCCAGGTCTGATGATGCCCGTCATTTGAATGACGAATGCATAGCTCTTTTCACCCGAAATGTGAGAGGACTGCCTCAACACTCACGTCATATTAATGCCAAATGGTAGCTGGTGAGATCGACCTACCTCATGAACTTTCTACGAGATGCAAGTCTCCCCAAAAATGCTATCCTAAGAGATTCGTCTTAACCCAGTTACTCTGTGCTTAGATCATAGATATAAAGATCAAGATGGTGTGGCCTTCTGTTTGGTCACAGTCCCCTTTAACCTTATACTGTTGGTTCTAACTTATTTTCGCAACTTGGTTACGGCGTCAGGCAGACCTTGTTGTATGTACCTAATCCTGTGTCATCTGCTATAGCTTTCGTGTCGTCATCGTTAGTGAGAGGCGTCATTGTTAGCACAGAGTTACAATTTATCACTTATGACTTACCACTTCGTGTCTCACTGACGATGCAGGCAATGATGCCAGCGAAACTTTCGGAAATGTCAATGGTCCGAAGCTGGAAATTACGAATTGCATGACAGAGGACACAGGACTCGATACCTTCCACAAGGTCTCCCCGACGTTACGACCAAGTTGCGAAAATAACTTTGAACAAACACTGTAATTTATTTTAGTATATATTTAGAGTTTTGAGACTACCAGTAAATCAGTTATATGAGATGTATTCACCCTATTACGTTTGAGATGATGAAGGGCTGGTAGTAAAATTTTCCCACAATGATATGAGAAGAGCTGACGTTCCCAATGAATTTCACATTGTCTT